TATATGTGTGTGTGTGTGTGTGTGTGTGTGTGTGTGTGTGTGTGGGGGGCTCGGTGTGTCTCAGTAGGTGAGGGTAGAGTCGTCCCACTCCAGCTGCTGCTGTCTGCTGGTCCCCTGCTGGTCTTCTGGCTCGCCGCCCTCCTCGTCCTCGCTGCTCTCTGACTCAGCGCTCGTGATGTCGTCTTCCTCCTCCCCGTCCTCGCTCTCCTCCTCCTCTTCCTCCTCCTCCTCGCTGCTGTGTTGGTCCTCGTACGTCTGCATCACAGGGTGCAGGAAAATGGGGGAAGGGGGGATTTTGGTCACCAATGCAACAACAAAACAAACAAACAGAAAATAAAAAAACAGGCAAGATACGTCCCAAGCGTGTTTGTTTGCACGTAAAGGTGCTTCGTCTGTGGTCTACGCAGCTCTGGTAGTCGTTTTCCCTCCTTTCTACTTAATGATCTCCTCTCATCCCTCGGCTGCCATCATCATAAAATGCAGGGTTGGCCTGAAAGCTAATTCGAGAGCTTAGAGGAGGAGGGATGGCAAATGAGTGCAGAAACGGCAAGACAGCGAACGGATTGCAGCTTTAACAGCAGTTTTCAAGCAACCTGCCCCTCCCTGACTATTAACAGTAGGGGTGCACCGATTGCTGTTTTCTCGCCAATCACAGATTAGAAATCTTTAAGAAGCTGATTCCAATTTTGGCCAATACCAATTTTTTTTTTTGTCTGAATTGTTGCTAGACGTAGCAAGACTTGGCAACAGCTGTCGATAACTGCAGACGTAAATAACCTGGCGGGTCTGTCAGTCAAACTTCGCTCACAGCGGAGCAACAGAGGACAGTAGATTATTTTTAGATCTTTATTGAGGTAGATGGGATCGGTGGATCAGGTTGGCTTCACCTGTGAGGATCCACCCATCATCTCCCAAAGTTGAGGAAATCAGGGACAATTTTTTTGGTGCACTCTAACTTAAGGGTATTTTACACCCAGTTTTGCTGTCATGTTTAACTGAAAGCGCCACTGATATATAAGGGGTGCATGTAACATTGTAAAATTGTTGGCCACTTCTTTGGTGCTGCTTTTAGGGATTTAGCAGCAGTGTAAAAATGTACATTACATTTTGAATATAGTTGCTTGAAAATCAGACAAAAACAGTCAAATATTCAGTCATTTGTGGCCAACTGTGATTTATATTATTCATGTATGACACTGTGTCATCCAGTCCAAGATATTTCCATTTGATTTAACACTAGAAAATTATCTTATAGAGTGTTACGACATTTTAAAACTATTTGTTGATGTTACTAATGCTACAGGACAGATCAACAAAGAGTAGTCCATAATTGTGAAGCTGAATTTTTAAAGGTTTACAACTGTTGTAAAGTTAAAAATCAAAGCATTTGTACTGAGTTGCCCCGGGGCTTTTAGAGGATGCCTCCAAAAGTTTTACTAATGTAGACACTCAAATTTGTACTGATTCTCTCTCTTTTTTTTTTTTTTCCCCCCAAAACAGTTCAGCCAGATTGGACTGAAAGGGGGTTGTGAGCATCAATTTTTCCTCAACACTGCTTTATGGTTAAGTTTCATGCATTTACAGTTGTTGATCTTAGCTTGAGAGTTCCCCTTTACCTCCTGCTTTCTTCCTCTCCTGGTCGTGAGCTTCTTTGTCTCCTCTTTGCATTTCAGCCATCCTCATGTTGAGATGTGGTCCGGTTTGTCGTTTATCTTTCTTATTTATTTTCAAGTTTCTGTTCTGCGGTTTTACGTGATCACGTTGCCTCCAGCCCCTTTCACAAAACACGTCCATCGTAAACCCACGCAGCTGTTTTTAAAATGAATGTGTGCGGGGTGAAAAGAGGTGACGCGCAGCATCAGTGTCAGCACTGCAGGTAAAATCTGTCAGGAGTCAGGAACAATTATGGTGAGAGGACTCAGCAGCCATCTTGTTCTTAGCGCCAAATCTGAGGATTTCTGACTTTTATTTTAGTTTAATTTTATTTCGGTTTTATTTTTGGTCAACTCATCAAAATGTAATGTTTACTGGTTTTTGCAATTGTTGACTGCATGGTGTCTTTTATAACTTTGTACTTTTGTGTTTCTCTGATGTTATACAAGACAGAATGTATAGAAATTCAAAACATGCATCCTTTGTTTGTTGTACTTCTCATATTCTGTTTTTTTAAACCGAGACACAGTTTAAACAAATGCTCTTATTTCTTGTTCAGTTTTTAGTATTTTGTGTTTCGCTTCACTGACATGTTTTTGAACAGAAAAGCTTTTCTTATATTTTAAGGGATTTGAGATGAAAACGAAACCAATCTCAACATTCGCTCTCTAAATGTTTCTCATGCAGAGACCGTTTTTTAAAAAGATGATTTAATAGAATTTTCAATTCAATTCAAAACTACTTTATTGATCCCAAAGGGATAAATTAGTTAAAATTTAAGTTAAATGGTAACGTTAGCCTATAATTTCTTTTTTACTTATTAAAAAAAGGACTTCCTTTAGCTATCCTTTGTTCAAAAAGTGATTGAATTTCATTTTTTCATGTATTTACGCCTGCCAAAATACTGAGATTTATAATGGTGGCTTACATGGGACAACAAACCCGTTTCTCTTGCCATAAACAGTGGAAAAAAACACAAAAATCACTGATTCATTCCTGTTTCAAATGCAACTCTAGTTCTGCAACAATGTCCCTCCATCACGGCTTCTAATAATCAGGACTAGGACACAGTCGCAGCATCACACAGGACAACTAAAGTGTAAAGCTGAAAAAATCTTTTGTTAAACAGTGAAACATTTCATCTCATTTTGCATTTTTTTTTCTATTTTTTCTCCTACCTCCATGGGGTTAACTGTGATGGTGAGGGCCGAGTCGTCCCAGTCCATCTCGTTCTCCTTGCCGCTCTCCTGGTCTCTCATGGAGCGCTGGTGTGCAGCTCGGATGCGGAACACGCCCAGGATTATCATGAACACCAGGAAGCTCACACACACCACGATGACGATGGTGGCGGCGCTGGGGACCACTGCAGAGAAAACAGCCCGAATCAGAAAGCAGCGGGGGGGATTGATAGACGGATTCCGGTTTTATGCAGGAAGGCGCAAGAGCATTTCAAGGACAGCAGCGACCACATGAAGGCGTCTAGGAGCTCAAGGTGTGTGTGTGTGTGTGTGTTTTCTTTAAATAGCTTTTCCTGTCTCCCGACAAACTGCTCCACTTTCCCCAATGTGATCCAGATAGGATCTCTGCTCTGGACCGGGAGTGTTTGTCAGATACCAGAGGCTAGAATACGAGGTTGAGCTCCAAACCTGGCCGGTGCAGATGTCACAGACTTGAGCTCAAGTGTAAACCTTAAACCAACACCATAAAATGAAACTAAAAGGGAAAAAAAAAAAAACAAACTCGTGTTTCACAGACGCCCTACTTTGGCTAAATACGCAGTAATCCATCTGCAGCGGCGCCCGCCTTTTAGCAGACCGGATCATTTCTAGAGCTTTAATTAAACAGATTTGATTTCAACACTTAGCATCAATACCATCTGCCTATTAAAACCGGTGAGACGCATGTAGCTAAAACACAGTTTTATCAGGTTTTGAGCAACGTAACACAAAGACAGTGTTAGCATGATTAAAACAAACCAAAAAAAAAAATCAGAATGTTCCACAGATTTCAGTACCCGAAGCCTGGTGAGCGTTGACCAGGTTGTGACCAGACAGATCGACAGAGGCGTGATGGACAGGATTGATGAAGTTGGGCTGCACCATGGCGTTGTTGGCGTGCTCTACAGGATTGGACGTGTGAATCACATTAACCTAAAGAGAAGGGAGGCCTCGCCTGTCAACTTCTCCTCTCAAACAGGGCATTTTGAGGTTGTCGGCGATTCATAGAAACGACGGTGATGTGTTAAGAGTGTTCCCACCTCAACCTTGAAGTCGTTGCTGATGTAGCGACCGTTGAGTTCAGAGCAGACCAGCTTGAACTTCCGGTCAAAGAGCGCTTCGGTGTGCCAGTTCTTGTAGCGGATGAGGTGCAGGACCTGCTCATAGTTGGCCATGGTGTTCACGCCTGGAAGACACGCAGAGAAGCTCAAGTACATAAAAGCCTGATTTCGGTGGAAGCTATCCATCTGTGATGTTGTGTACCAGTTATGACGAGGCCCAGGTTAGACGAGCTCATCTCCAGGGCGCGCTGCTGCAGCTGAGAGACGTCCACCTCCAGGCTCTCGTGCTCGCCGTCCAGCTCATCTCCCACCACAGACACTTCACACGAGTCCAAGTTGTGCATGATCTCCTCCGACACAACTGTCTCTTGAACTGAAAGAAACCCAGCATAAAAAAAACAAAACAAAACAAAACACACAAACACATTCCCAAGACAGCATTTGAAGCATATTTCACAGGTGTTTCTACATTATTTAAGAGCTGCATTAAAGGTTAGAGCCTGCCACCTGATATTGATTTGTCTAGTTTCAAAGCTTGAACATGCAGTCTAGCTTTTGTTGCAGCAAATTCATTTCTCCGGCGACTACAATTAAATGATTTTTAACATCGACTGTGACCCTGTTTGCTGTCCGGTCATGAGAGTTGGGTCAAATTAAAGCGAGTAAGAGCAACTGATCTTGCTAAGCCCCCTTTGTCCCATATGCCAGTGTGCTGCTCACAACAGCACATTGTACCTCCGTGTATCTGTGCCGGCTCTGGAGCATGTCTATTGTCCTTCCTCGTCTTAACCCATGTGGAAGCCCGACAGATGGCACGGCTGGTCGCTTGCCACGCCCACAAATAAACAACTTAGCTCTGATTCCCAAAAGTCTCATTGTGTCTGTACAGTTCCCTCATCCTCCAGGCAAAGTTACTGCCAGCTACAGTATCTCTACGCTGTTATAAACCTTTCAGCCTTCCAGGTTATTTATTCAAGAAGAAAGCATGTCAGCAAAGCCTGAAAATTAAAGCTCGGATCAAGACTTTCACTCCATTTAAATGAATAAATGCACAGACCGTGTTATGCCAACACTCTGGCTGAAAACATGTCTGATTGCTTTCGTTTTATTACGACTAAATATTGGACTAATTTTCTAAACTGTGACGTCTTGTCTGAAGGTCCAGGCGTCCCTTACCTGTGGGGTCGTCGTCGGCGCCTTCTGCTGCTTCAGACTCTGCGTCGGCCTCCATTTCCCGGGTGATGGTGCTGACGATGCGAAGCTCGGGAAACAGAGTCACGCCTTCCTGGCTCTCGAATTCGGCGGCGCTGCGGGCGAAGTGGTCGATGCCGCTCAGGCTGATCTTCGGCTCCTCGGGCTGCAGCACCATCACGTAGCCTTCAGCGTCCGGCACCGCCACGCAGGCGTCCTCGTTCAAACACCTGGCGAAGAGTTGACAAATACCCTGAAATCACGGTGGTAGATGAAAGAAACCCTGTCCTCTAATTTAGTGCGCATGCCGTCCACTCACAGGCTCCTGAGATAAATTACGTTTTGCTTCTGTCACTTACTTGACAGTGGTGGAGATGCGGAGGTGCCTAATGCCTGGAGTTGGGAACTGGCGGGAGTTTAAGTAGGAGATGTGCTGCATGACTTTGTCAAAGGCGCCGATGTCGTCGCCTTCCACTGTCAGAGAGGACTGGCTGGGGTTGAAATCAACCTAAGTGAAGGAAATGAAGTAGGAGCTTACATAACTGAACCCAAAAGTTTATTTTTTTATTTACCTAAAACAGATCTTCAAGTGTAAAATTTCTGGAAGTTGAACCATTACGCCTACGGACTCGCCTTTACAACAGTGTGCAGACACGTAGTTGTACAGGTTACTTATGAGACAATTAAAAAAGTATTTAACCCTTACCCGTCTGCTTTTCAGCATCATTAAACCCTTCTAGTCACTTCCTTCTTTTATAATTCACACAGAGAGGCGTCTTGTGACAGAAGAACAGCCTTCAGTGTGGAAGTTGTGACTAGATCTGCTTCTTAGCTGGGTCAATTACAGTTGTGGTGCTTAAAATAGTGTCAGAGGAGGCACAAAGATGTACGAAGTTCTTTAAAAGGAAACAATTTTCAAAGTGTCATTTATTCATGCTGTAAAATGTGGAAGAGAGCAAGACTTTTGGCAGATAACAGGAAGGCTGAACAGAGTACAGGAGAGGGGAATGGTTTTATCATTTTGACCATTCAAAATGATAAAACCATCTCTGCCTGATGTGAGACAAACTGGATTATACGGCTCTATATTCTCTAGCTCTATATTCCAGAGAATCTATATGCTCCTACAGTCCTGGAAGGCCACTGTCCTGCAACTTTTAGATGTGCCTCTGTTGCACCACACCTGAATAGAATAATGAGGTCATTAGCAAGGCTCTGGAGAACTGATCTACACAATGAGGAGGTAAGTAAGCCATTTCATTCCAGTGTTTTGTATATGTGGCACATCTAAATACTGCAGGACAGCGGCCCTCAAGGACCGGAGTTTGACACCCCTACTCTAGAGAAAATACGTACAGAGACTGTGGTTATAATGTTAGCCATGCCAAACAAGTAGTGGCCATTTTTCCACATTTTAAAATGTTAATTCTCATTTAAGTCCTATTGGCAGTGATCGCTCTCTCACACAGTGAGGGTTTGCCTCTGCTCTGCTCACAGCAGTTCTGGTATCTTCCTGTATTATATTCTAACAAATTACACATATTATGTAATATATTACAAAAAACAAAAAAAACCAAAAAAATCAGTATGGTGGACAAAACAAACAGCTTCGATCCGTGCGATACGTCTTTAAAAGCAACTGACCAGCCTGCACGAGCCACTCCGCTCCCTCACCTTCACCGCTGAAGCCACTTCCTCAGGCAGCTGCACATCCAGGCCTTCTTTGCAGGTGTACAAACAGTCGATCACCTTCTTGTTCTCCAGCTTGCCGGAGCGGATGATCAAGCCTGCAAGGTTTCCTCGGAAAAACTGAGCCATTCGGGCGTTCCCGCCTGGTTGGGAAAGTACGGAAAAAATGGAACAACGCAAAAATGAGTGAGCTACTTAAGAGGGGATTTCAATGTTTCAGAGCTGACAATGGAAGCGTGGTGTCTCAATGAGCAAAGCCGGCATGAATGAAGTTCATGCAAGTTAGTATATGCCCCCCTTAAAGGCCCGAGGCCCGGAGGATGAGACAGGCAGACGATGGATGAGCTAATGTATGCCTGCAGCACATGCAACATTTAAATCAATGAAGTGGAGCTACGAACGTACTGTGGATAAAGATATTGCAACAACAAAAAGACATAAAGGAGAGGAAAATAAAAAATCAAAAAAATCTGCTTTTCTCAGCAAATCGTGACAAACGACAGAATTTCAAGACGGGAAAATGTTGATATTGACAAATGTAATCAGTAAAACTGAGCTTTAATTTCTGCAGCGTTAGCCCCAAACCGCACATGTCAAGGTCAGGCGAACCTTCAGCCACGTGTGTATTTTTAGCCTACTGCAGGTTTGTTATCTGATATGCAGGAGTTTTGACAAGGCCACACTTAACGGTATGGAGGAAAACACGCAGCCGGATCGGAGTTGTTTTTGTGCTCTTTACGTTTCTATTTCTGTTCTGCTGGAGACAGAGTGTCGGCTGAAATAGAGGACAAACCTCCCGACTGCTGAAGATCTAAATAAATTATTAAAAAGAAGGTGAAGAAAATGAAAGAAGAACAAAACAAAACAGGTAGGACGGCATCGCAAAACTTATAAGCAGCCCATCATGCTGTAAAAAGCGTCGATCAACAAGCAAACAACGATCTTTTCCATCTAGAATGTTCCTGTCATTCTAGTTAAAAATGGCGTGAAGATGCGGTTAAGCTGTTAGCATGGCGGGACGTTGTGGACACATGGACATGTCTGAGGAGGAAGGGAAAGACTTAAGCAACCTGAGGTGGTCTCAGGGGCCGCCTCAGTGTCATTGTCATGTCCCGAGTTTTCTGTAATTGGACGGAGAACGAGAGAGCAGGGAAAGAGAGAGGAAGGAAGGTTGAGGATTTTTTTTTTTTTGCAGGAGAGACTACAGATGCTAGAGAATAAAAAGATCATGCTGCATCAGTAGAGATTCCCAGGAAGAGTAAAAACAACATTTAGTGACTAAACAAAATACAAAACAGACTGTAAAGAGTACTGCTAGATAGTTTTACTATTTTCATCATCATACAGTGCTTTACGAAAGCATTCACACCTCTTGAACTGAAAGTCAATTCAAAATTCAATTTATATCATAGTATTATGTCATATAAATTTGTCTGTTTCAATCTATGTAAACCAGGGTTTTCGGTGACTGTCACTGAGAGACACAGAGGTGGATCTCCAGGACAGCGGACAGTGTTGGAAACCCCCGATATAAACCGTGAATGCTTATTAAACAACCTGAAGGGAATCAGAGTGTCTACCTTGCCAGCAGGCCCCAACGGTGAGCTGAGTCTCGATCTTAGAGGGGTGCAGTGGGTAGTCCTCTGTGACCATGAAGGGCTCGAAGGCCGTCCCGTCCACAAACAGAGAAACGGTGGGGAACTCCACGTTGAGCACATAATGATGCCACTCTTTGTCACACACCTGTAAACGTGGCAGTTAAAAAAAGACAAAAAGAAAAAGAGTTGAAAAGCTGTACGAGAGCAAACGGAGCTCGGTTTGAGAAGCAGCGGCGGACCTGGTCGAGTTTCCAGTGGAACTCTGCTGGTTTGTAGTTCTCCGCCTCGGACGGATCCTGGCGGAGGAGAAGGATTAGCCTGCAGTTGTGAACGTAGAGGGAGTAGTGGTGTCTGTTCATATCTGCAGGTAGGAAGAACGAGAAAAAGATCAGGTTTAGACCCTACCTTTCATATAATCTCCTTAAAATAATAAAAAATAAATAAAAAAAAAAACAACACTACTTTGTTCTCATCAGAGCAAGAAAATTTTAACGTGTGGTGACCCACAAGGGCGGGATTCATGCTTCTGTGACTCGGAGCTAAAGAGAGGTCACACTGATGGTGCGCTGACATCACGGGCCTCGGAGCGTCCTGTCCGGGACGCAGCCGCTCTGATGTAATCCTTCTTGTATAAGCAGCCACGGCCGCCTGCTCACGGATCACACCAGAGACTTTACAGAAAATAAGATCAAGGTGGCCTGTGACTGATCGTGTAGTCTCTAAAATAAAAGGAAGCGCGGTCAGTGAGCAGAGGTGAGGGCGAGGACTTGCACGCTCCAGTCGGCGCAACACAAACACTGATTAGAACCGCGGCGTTAAGTCTGAGCCAGAGATACGGCGGCTATTTTAATCCCGTGAACTAGCAGACCAAATGTGCGCGGCGGTAATGAGATGCCGAGGGAACTCGTCACAAGTTTGACCTCAGACACTCAGCTTTCAGATGCACTGACCTAAAGAGGAACGACCTAGAGTCAGTTAGATCAGGCCTGAACCATCAGAGACACATAAAGATGATTACAAAGTCGGCCTTACTATCACCTGAAGAACAACGCCGACTTTTGTTGATCTGATCAGAGCGACGCCGTTTTTCTGCAGAGTATCAGATTATCATAGACCTCTACCTGTTTTGTCCGAGTTGCAGAGGATCGTCTCCTTGTCGTGGGAGCCGGGCCCGTGCCTCATCCACACAGAGATGGTGAAGGGCTCCTTCAGGTTGGCGTTCACCAAACCATCGGGCACCTTGATGGCCTGGGTGCCGTTGAATTCAAACACCTGGTCGCTGTCGTGTCCATTATCAGTGGGCAGTCCCACCGTCCAGTTGGCAGAGCTGCTCGGAGCAGGGAGGAGCTCCACGGTGCCGGAGCTGGCTCCTAAGATACGACGACGGCAGAAGCAGATTTACGTATCTACACTGGACTCTGTTTTGTGTGCATATGCTATAAACTTGAAAACATGCAACTTTAACAAGTTAAGTTTCATGTCTTTATAAGGGAACAGATGGAAAGGCGGATTAAGTTAACAATAGAGGTGAAAAACGATGCCTAACAAAAATAAAATATTTATTTTATTGCAGACGACATATTCTACTGCAAATTCTTAGCATTTCCAGCGGAGCGTTTGTGCATTTACCACACAGCTTGTGCAGTGACTTCTCAGAGTACGTGTCACGGTCGCAGCCCTTTCCAATGTGGTTGGTTTCCAGTTCAATGCTGGCCCGGACGGAGGTGATGGGCACGTCGCAGGTCTCCAGGTGCATGCTGGGGAAAAGAGCCAGGCTACCGGTGCCCGGTTCATACTCAGTCCTCTTATTGAAACCTGAGAACCAAGAGAAAAGGAGAATTGAGAGATTAAAGGAGGGATAATCTGCGTAGAGTTGTAAAGTAGTATGGAAAGTTTGACTTTCACACCTTGCCAGCTGGGTCTGCAGGTGGGCTTTATGCTGATTTTGACCAACACGTCTTCAGAAGCTCGGTTCTTCCCGCAGTCGTAGGCGGTCACGGTCAGCTTGTACATGTGCTCTTTGCCGTAGCTCAGCTTCTCAGTGTTCTTAATAAAGCCTGACGAAGACAACAACAAAGGGGGTCAAGTTTTGACCATTTCTCTGATGAAAATGACATTTTTCTAAGCTATAGAGATGTAACAAATATAAGACCCTCACAAACAGCCCAAAAATATTAAATTGTTGAAGTAAAGGAAAAGAAGGAGATGGATGGACACTGTTGTTGAGGTGCCATTTTTGAACTGTCTTTAGTTCCTTCTTATCTGTTGATTCTGTTGTGCCGTTTTTCCAACAAAGAAATACAAGAAACAGACATGATGAGAAAATACCGACCACCCTGGATAATATTTACAGAAAGCTGAAATTGCTTGCGCTGAATTTTAAATGAAACCCTCGTGGCGTCAGTTTGCACACAAAATCGATAGACTCCGTGATCCGTGTCAATACAACCCATTATCTCAGCCGCGTGCCGATCCGTTTCCCAAGCGGGCAAAGACAAAGGCACGCTCCTTCAAGGTCCTCACCGTCTTTGTCGATGGTGAAGGGAACGTCGGGCGTCACGATCTCGTAGCTGCAGATCTGGCTGAACTGGAAGGAGCAGTCGGCGTCCACCGCCTCCACCTTCAGGATGTTGTCGTATTTCTTCCCCTCGATGACGGTGGCTTTGTACGTCTTCTCCTTGAACACTGGGGAGTACTCGTTGATGTCGTTCACCTGGATGTGGACGGTCGCCCTGAGGGGAGCAGGAACACGGTTGGGCCGTTTTAATCAGCGGCGAGGATTTTAGTAGAAGCATTTCACTATGCAAGGGAAATCAAAAGGTCTATTTGTGTGTTTACCAGGAGTTTCACTCAAATTGAATACAATAAATTTTATTTTCAGTTTCTCTTTAGATTGTTTCTAAGAGAGGAGTTGTAGTGAAGAGCAGATAAAACGAATTATCTTCTACTGTGGCTGGCGTCGCGTCAAGCAGCGCCAAGCAAGATCTTACCTCCTGATTTATCCTCTGTTCAGTCAGAAAAAGCTCACTCTGGAGAAACTCTTTAAATTATAATTTCTTTCAAGCAATTGTGTAATTCTACTAATTATTTCTTATTACTTTCATCCTGTAAAAAGCTACATAAAAAATGTTACTACAACTACAATAGAGTTTACAGTAATTTATCAAATCTGTCAAAGCCAAAAAACCAGCAGAAAACCATGCAGCAGCAGCATAATGAAGCACTAAGTTTGCAAACAAAAAGGTAAAACATCACATGTAACTAAGCAACAACTATTTCACAGACTAAATATATATTTAGTCTAAATATATATTTAGTCTGCTCGTATATACTAATACGAGCAGTGGAGATAGAGTTAGCGTGACCGCAGGAGCCAAAATCTGCAGTCTTCCTTATCTTTGCTCTTACTGGTCCATCCAATCAATAAGAAAATAAACGGGGCTCCTCGATTGGCTGCTTTGCAAGCGACATCCAATAGCGCGTAAAGTAGCAATGTGCCTCGGTTTATCAGCTGCCCAAGCTGGGTTTTCTGTTAACGGTTTTAGATTTACTCTACGTAAAAAAAAAATCTGTGCATAAATTGGAGTTGCATTTCACAGATCACTTCACAAACAGGTGAATATGCAAATACTGAACTACAAATAGCTGGGATGTATGGCTTAAAGTACATCCACGTGTTTCTCTTTTGATCACACAAGGTTCTGACGTTTAGAAAAATCAAGAAAAAAAAATATCTCTGTCAGTATTCTGGCATTTAGAGAAACATAAACTAGCAGAAAATATTTAGTATGTTTTAATTACAGTGAGTAAAAATGCCTCTGTGTTTATTTATACAGTGCATGTAATAATGCAGTAAATCTGTGAATGTAAGATTTTCTTTAAATCCAGGTTAAAGTCTATAAACAGACTATCAAATCAGGGATCGTCTGACGTGGCCAGGCTTGACTCACTTGTGTGATTTCTTCATGTTGGCGCCATCAGGACCCTCTCCACAGTCGTAGGCCTGGATGGTGAAGGTGTGCTCCTTCTGCAGCTCACAGTCGAGCTTCTCCTTGGCCCTGATGACCCCCTCGCCAGTGGACTTGTCCAGGACCACTGCCTCGAAGGGGACGTTCTGCCCGTGGATCCGGAAGCCGCAAATCTCACCTGGAGTCAAAAGGGAGCTTGCTCAGAACAGCTGATGAGAGATGCGACATCAAATTTTAGATAAAATGAAAAAAAGAAAAATCCACGCAAAAATAAACAAACAGCCACAGATTTTGGGAACCAAGGGGTTGTAGGTAGAGAAGTGCATGGAGTCTGTGGAGGAAGCCAAACCGCACATCAAGTGGGTGAGTAGTCGGGGGTGAGGGAGTGGGACATTTGAGATAACTTTGTTTTAATTTCCAAGCCACTTGAAAATCAGTGCATCCAGTCATGCAGGCGGAAACTGAAGAAAAAAAAAAAAAAAAAACGTGGACAGGCATTTCACAGGAGCACTCAGGATGTTGTAACAAACGGAAGTCGTGAAAGAGAGCTTTAAAAGAAGTGAATACAAAGATAAAGGCATATTAGATAAACAAAATAAAAAAATTAAACATAAAGGTGATAAAACACCAATTCATCAATCAACACCCCCCCTCCACCCACCAATAAAATCTGTGAAAGAAAAAACAAAACAAAAAAAAGAACACTTCCTGTAAGTAGTTTGCACCATTTAAAGAAAGTCTTCCTGTGCAATTCTGCCTGCCTCTCATCCAAAAAACAACTGCAAAACAAACCCATGAAATCATACGGAAACTAAACCAGCACGATAACAGGATCCAAAACAAAAAGCACTGGATGAGAACTGGGGTTAGAAATATCAACTTGCTTGACATCCACATCAAACGACTGCAGCCATGCTAATGGTTGGGATTAGTGGCGGAGAATTAAACTCAAAAGAGATCCACCGAGGCGAGGGATGCAAAAAACAGAAGCTTTGCAGCGAAGAGAGCGACAGAGAGAGTTTGCATCGGTTAACAATCTCAGCAAATTCACAGAAATCTGCAGGAGTTACTCTCAAGTGCTTGCAAGAGGAGAAGCCCAATGGTGAGCACGTGTAGCACCTTCAGGAAATCTGCGTGTATTTTTATCTTTTACTGGAGTCAAATTCTGCTGGAGGATTTAGCTTTGGCTCATTAATGAACGTTTTAAAAGCTGGCAAGGTTATTTTTAATTGAACTTGCTGGACAAAATGGCGCCAGAAAGACAAGAGAACTCCTGTTTTCAAAGGTGGTTTTAGTTCTCGAGGTGACAGCTGATGCACTGTTAGGGTCTGCAAACTGCAATGGATGTCTCATGCACAGATATTTCTAAGAGCAGTCAGTCCCCACATCACACTTTTCATCCAGCTGTTTCAGCTCTTTAAAAAAAAAATAAAAATAGTCAAAGTGAGGCGGGAGGAGAGGGGGGGAAAGAACCAGCGAGAAACAAACGAGGAGGTCAATTACAGAGCATGATAGGAGTTTCTGTGTAAAAAGTGTGGATGCTGCTTTTTTATGTTAGTGGGTTAATCGTAAAAAAATAAATAAAAATAAAAAAATAAAAAAAAAAATAAGCACAAGGCAGAAGAAAAAAAAGCCCACGATCACCTTCTTTGGTGAGGGTCACCTCAAAACTCTCTACGAGGAGGGGAGAGGAGATAAACCCAGAAAGTTAGAAGACACGTTGAGGAAAAGAAGAGACATTCTTGAGCTGTACACTAACACAACCAACATCAGAAAAGCTCATGGTAAAGAGAAGGCTTTCTCCGAATTTTTAAAAAAAGTGAATTTTTAAAAGCACATAAAACGTTTTTTTTTTTTTTTTTTTTTCCTGGAGATGACAATAAGGTTACAGGTGAGAATCCCACTTTCCAGAGACTGTACGATCACACCCTCAGCCTTTGGGTGAGTCATTTATCTTGTTTACAGATGAGTTTCGCCACATTACAAGCAACATTTCCTACAAAACTCTCTGGAGGCTTCTGTGAAGGCCTCCGTTAGTTCACTTCAGGGATTTTTTTTTTGTTGTTTTGTTTTTTGGGATTTCGTTTGTTTCGGAAGCAGGCAATCAGGGAAGCCATATTTTATCCAGAGTTATCTCAAACTTAAAATTTATTCATTAATAAGGCGGAGGACAGCGTCAGCTTTTATGTTCTCTAAAAAGTTCATTTGGAAATCCATTTTGCAAATTCTTCCTTCAATTCTCGGGAATTGAATTGGCAGATCAAGAGAGTCATTATTCGTGATTTGTGTTTCTTTTTTGGGTTAATAGCATAGTCATCCATTAGCCTTGTGTTTGCTACCTTTACTTCCCACATTTGATTGTGATGCACAAACTTAAATGTTTTTTATTGGGTTTTATACGACAGACAAAGTTAAACAAAATTGCCAAGTTGGAAGACAAAAAAACAAAGCAATTCCTGGGTTTCTTGATTTAAATTCTGCTCTCATCTGACCCGAGAGCCTTCTGCCACATGTTTGCTACATTCCCTGTGTAGCTGCAAACTGGATTTCTCGTATCTTTTTTTCCAATAATGGCTTCCATCTTGTCAGGCGGATTTGTGGAGGCCACAAAGAACAGGTGAAACAATATTTTAGTAAACTGCAAATAATGCAAGCTCCCAGTTATAAACTGAATGATACTACAGTTGACCGGAAAATATATTTATTCTCCCATGTTGTTTGTTCTGCTCAGTTTTTTGTTGTTGTAACTTTTAGAAACAGTTTCATTGAAGTAAACCATGAGGAAGAAAAACAGCGCCAGGTTTGCTGTTGCTAAATGTGGATCTTAAATAAAGAAAACTTTTCAGATTTGTATCTGTGGAAAAATGTAAAAAAAAAAAAAAAAAAATTACTTTCCGCTACACAATTCTTGCGTCCACATTAAACCCCAGTAAATTAAATATAAGTATGTGCTTATAACCTAACAAAACATGGAAAAAACTCGAGGGCTGCGAATACGTTTAAAAGGCACTGTAGCACATGCTAACTTAAACCACGACTCTCCTGCTGCAAACATGAATTTATTCACTCTGATCTGACTTAAAGGCGTGTATTTGATTGGGCCTCTGAGCGGCCTGTGGGTCGGCTTAATGGGGAACCCTCTTAGTTGGCACAGATGGAGGGAATCTGGCGTGATGGAGCAGATCAGCTCTGCAGCCACGTGAAGCCAGACTGCTCGCAAAGAGACAGAGAGAGAGAGACAGAGAGAGAGAGAGAGAGACAGAGAGCGAGAGACAGACAGAGAGAGAGAGACAGAGAGAGAGAGAGAGAGAGAGAGAGACAGAGAGAGAGAGAGAGAGAGAGAGAGACAGAGAGAGAGAGACAGAGAGAGAGAGACAGAGAGAGAGACAGAGACAGCGAGCGAGAGAGAGAGAGAGAGAGAGAGAGAGAAAGACGGTTCACAGGGACACACAGTCCGTTCATAAATGCCGCTCATCAAAAGGGGAGCCCCCCGTTGAAAGAGGTGGGCGCACCAAGATGTGTATTCAGCACTAATATGCTGTGAAGGGAGACAATCATCACGCAGAGGATGAAGCGTTTCACCCTGTTTTTGCAGGCTCGTCGTTCAAAACAGCGACAGTGCGGAGGTCGGCTTTAAGCGGTGGCCGTCGCCTTCCTCTTCGTTTAAATGCCGACTGTTTTTGGTTGAAAACGCGGCAGCTGAAGCCTCAACGGGAACTCAAGACGAGTACTCTTGGATTAAGACGATCGCACGAGGAGCAATAAAGCAGATAAAAGACTGTGCAACTCATCTGCTGCTTTAAGGCCCGACCTAAAGTCAATGCTGATGTGATTAGAGACACCGGGAGCAAATGTTTTCCTCATACCATTAAACTCATAAATTGTGGCTCCCTCTCTGGGAAGAACAAAAAAAAAAAAAAACCTTAAAAAACCATTCTGATCTGATAAATCAAAAGGGACAATCTTGCTGTATGGCAGCCAGATGTCCATCAGTATGAAAGGCAAGTCATAAAAATCTTATGGTTGAATCACATGTGTGTGTGTGTCACCGCAGAGAGCGAAACCATAATTAAAGCAACAAGGTAAGACTTAACGGTTCCTGACCTCCTCATGCTGAGTCAGCTGCTGTTTTAAATGTTAAAAAAAAAAAAAAAAAAAATCAAACAGTTTATCTCAGATTTATTCATCACCGGGAAGAATTAAAACTTATTAAAACACGCAGCAGGGTGGGAGACCTTCATAAATTAACCATGATGCATTTGTGATTTCAAAGCCTGGCGCTCAAAATAGATCAGAGGCTCTACTTCCGTGTTAAGAACAGCTGTCCTTCTGTCTTATTTGGGAAGAATAATGAATTTGACAAAATGAATAATTCATTGTCGGCCTTTAAATAATATATACCGACTATCTACATCTGTGAGTCACGCGGCTGTTTTGCATAAAGGAGCATTGTGACATCGCTTTCTCTTTCATTTTACGACCTGAAGGTGATCTCAACAGCGGGGCTGGTCATGAACTGGCGAACGAGCGGCGGCAGCGTTTAAGCTTTCTCTCTCACCTGCGTAGCGTAAAGGAGCGTCTTTGTCCAGCGCAATTAGAGGCGGGTCCAGAATAACCTTGTCATCGTTCTCCGTCACAATCCCATGGTACGTCGTCTCGATCCACGGCTTGTGCTTATTGACTGCGAGGAAGCAGAGAGAGAAAACATCAGCCGACAAACGACGACGACAAAACAATAAGCTGATCGTAGAAGTGGACATATTCAGATCTTTTTTTTTTTTTTTTTAACAAGTTTCTTCCTATGCAGGAATGACTTTTACCTCCTCCATCCCCCCACTCCCCCCCATGCGGCGTGGATGCATTTTTAATGAGGTTAGGGATGCTTTTAATGTTATTTTTAGAAGTGGAGAGACAACCTGCAGCAGAAAGCAGGGAGCCGACGAGGAGCGGGCGCGAGCATCGCTGCAGAAGAATTAAAACGCTTTCTGTGTTACGTCTACCCTCTTCCCTAGTATCTTTCAACCTCCAGAAAGGAGACCAGATTATTTCAAGATAATACTAACTGAGAGGGTTTTTTTTTTTTTTTCCCACATATTTAACATTCAAAAGACAGATTCACTGTTTTTGTTTAGTTAGCTGCAACAGACCAAACAACAAGTAGATGATAAAGACAAGGTCAGGTTTGGGGTTCTTGTCCGCTTGTCTGCATGGGAAGCCTCCCGGCTGCAGACAGCAGGAAAAGCTGCAGCGAGTGACTCTTACAGTCAATATGCCCTGCCTCCACCACGAGAGGGAACAATGGCGTTAAAGGGCTACTGATCTGCAGACGTGACGCTAACACTTGGTGACAACAGACTGAGGAGCAGAGATATAATGACTGACCTAATCCAGGCTGCGCCACATTAGGAGAACATGCATTTGTGACATTGTTGTTGAATAATGTGTATATTGTGTGGCTTTTGAAGACTTTTTTTTTTTTTTTTTGCATTTATATTTCTAGAGGTCTCAGGCCTTCTTACCGCATTTTCTCATAATAAAAATAGGCAAAAGTTGACAAGAAATTGTGTGCAAGGAAACAGTAGCGAGGCTATAAATGTAGAAGCTACAAAAACTACTGGATGGACAGACGGACGAATGGATGGATAAGCAAACCAATGGGTGGGTGGATGGATAAACTAACAGATTACTAGTTTAATCATTTATTAAATAGTATTAATCACTTTTGAATGTCTAAATACAAACATTTTTCTATACTTTATTTTGTCGTGATGCAAAAGACATTGCAGAATTTGAGAAATAAAATGTAACCCACCGGAAAATGTGAAAACCTGTAGTATTTCTGAGGCTGACCAAATCAGGGGAAAAATGTAGGTGCTTTAATGTTTTAATTCAACCTTCGCAGTGGAAATAAAAAAAAAAACAGGCCTCTTTGGCTGCTGCAGCTCTCTGATGCGAGTTTCTCAGGCATGTAAGACAGACCTGAGTACAGCATGTTGCTGTAACACTGAACTCAAAGAAGAAAGATTTCCAAATTAACACACCAAGTTTCCAAAATAGGTGAAAAACTAGTTCTGCAAAATGTGTTTTGGACCCAATCCACTGATCACATGATCAACAAAGCATATCAAAACAGGAGCTGGTATGTCGGTGTTCCACTTTGCAAAGATTGTTAGCAGTACATGCAGACTTTTCAGACTTGTTTTTGCAAACTTTGCAGCCCTACGTCACAAATCAGGTAAATAAATGGATAAATAATAAATGTTTTAAAGATTTTAGCAATGGTGTTGGGGCCCATAATAATTTCCTAGCTCATATCTGTTTGATTTAACCAAACAAACTATTTCTTTACCTACAAATGAAAGCTAGAAAGAAATATTTTTCTTTTTCATACATCCAGATCAACATCATCTCACCTAAAACTTTTATCAGGATTGACACCTGCTTCGCTCTTTAGGATAAAACTTTTTAATGACAGTTCAGGCACATAAAAAAAAAAAAGTTGTCCTTATTGATTTTTAAGCCACAAATGAATGCTCACTATGCCTATCCAATTAATGCAGCATACAACGTCCCATACGAATGATTGGGTCTGACTCAACCATCCATGCATGCACCAAACAGACAGCAACAATAACCTGCCGCTGCAGCCTACACAATCAATGGCAGGAAATGATCGACCGCAGCACAACATTGCCAAATGTTACATGGGATGCTGCACCGTGACATAATCCATCCGAAGTTTAAAAAAAATGTCTCCAGAAGTTAATTATTTTTGATTGACAGAATGAAATGTGTTTTCAAGGTCCCACTCTTTTTAAATTATCCTCTTTTTTTTAATTCACAATTTTTAGAAAAATCACAAAACTCTTTAATAAATGAGTGGCACATCAGTCATCATAATGTTTTTGTTCCCCCCACTGTAGATCAAAGCAAGCTATTGAAAGCCTCGTTTCAAATACTGGTTCTGACTGTAGGAAGAAAAAAACAAAACAAAAAAAAAAAAGCTGCAAAGATTTGTTCCAGAATATTTAAACATTAATTATTATACCTGCTGAGTTTTATCAGACATTTATTAGCAGAAACAAAGCAGCAGGTCAAACAACCAGCTTACTGTGGCAGTCAGACTAAACAAATTAACTCGAGCTTTTTGCTTTTGGGAGTGTGAAACATTAAACTTACATACGAGTTACCGCAGACATACAAAAAAGAACTGGATTCGTTATCCCCATTCTGCTCGCACAATGGCATTAAACTCACTAAAACAAATACTCTGCCAGATCAAAAGGCTTTCCAAGTTTCATACTTAAAATGCTTGAAAATTAAAATGCTGGAGTCTAAAATCAACAATTCAAAGGACGCAAATGTTTCAAGGCAAGATTAAATATTCCTCTGCAATACTTGGATCGGCTGCTGTTGCGCCATCACATAACGCAGAGTAATCATCGCTGATTGCACAATCAGTAAAAAGTAATTACGACCTACTTGAATAGATCTGCAACATCTACAATTGACAGTTAAATAGTATTACGAAGGCCTCAGTGAAGGAAAGTGGTTTTTAAAGCTACCGCGACCAGCAGGTATCTTTATTACAGACATGTTTTTACACATCATTAAATTAAAACTCCCTACAACAAGGAATAGTGACTAAAATGGACAAACTGTGCAAAAGAAAGACTTCTGAAAGACTCTACCAATCAAACCCAAATGAAATGACTTTATTTTTCGGCATGCCCGGTTAAATCCCGTCCTCCAAAAGCGGCGCTCGATATGAAAACCTCGATGTGCTTACGAGTGATTTGGAAATGACCGAGCCCAATAAATGGCTTCGCTGAGTGACTCGTGACCTGAAGTGAAGTGGATCTCTTTAGGCGGGCCGCCAGGACAGACTGCCGCCATAATCAGCTTTGGCTTCCACAGAGTCACAGTTACTCTGAGCTGGGTCACATGTGGGCCTGTTGCTCGACCAAGAGCAGCTCGTGTCACGGCCGTCATCGCCAATGGTCGGTGAACCGGGTCTGCTTGTAAAGAGTGTTGCTGGGTGTTTCAGTAAAGTATTTCAATCTGATCCAGACGGGGGGGAAAAGCAAGATAAGCAGCATGACGGATGGATGGACAGACATGGGTTGACGAGAGGCTCCCAAATAAGGGAAACTCAAAGACCATCAAGTTTGCTCTGCAACACAAGCAAAAAGCCCGACACACGTGACTTGCTCCCAACAATGGCGACCCAGATTGGCAGCCCAGATCCACTGAAACAAGAGTCGGTGCAGATACATTCACAGATGGCAAACTGTGGAAGAATGCAAGCAAGTGTCAGCGTGAAAACAAAAGAGGCAAACCCACACAACCAATGGCGAATTCAAAAGCACCGCTACAATGCCGCTGTGCATTGCTGGTGAAATTGAAGTCTGTCCGATCCTTACGCATGCAGCAAGACTTGCATAACATTTCTTTTAAAGCATGAAAGTCATTGTTGTGAAATTACCAACAAAGCCCCTTTGACAAGACGGCTTCGTCTCCCCTCCCTGCGAGCCTCCAATAGAGAGAGAGAGAGAGAGAGATAACGTTCGTTTGTGTCATTACCGTTCACACATAAAACTAAAGACGCAACACATTAATCTGGTTCATTTAAAACCTATTTTATGTTACTATATGCAAGAAAAAGGGGAGGTGATAGTTGTACAAGGATTTCCACGCTCAGAAATGAAGCAACGCAATCATGCCGTCATCAGCAAAACCTGAAAATTTAAACTACTGATAAATGATGGGAATCCTGAAATGTGTTAAGTTATTCAAAAATGCACCAAACTAAAAACTTTCTGTTTAAAGAACTATTCTTTAATAAATAAAATAAAAATAAAAATCGGTATCGGCCGATACGAGATGATCGGTCCATCCCCAGTAAAATCAAACCTGTTGCGCTCTACTTCTTTTATTTAACGTGTGCTAAAATCAACATTTATTTCTGATTTCTATTATCAGGTCATGCCATCAATTTTCAGTTCAGGAGCAATTAAAAGGGTAAATGTTGAAAAAATAAAGCAGAGACAGCCGCGAAATAAAAGGACTATTTAATAAGTGGGTTGGTATTTATTTTTCCCCTCAGTTACACAATCAACTGACTTTAGGTGCCAAACACGATGTATGAAGATCCTGCTTTCAGGGAATATATTAAAGTAAAATATGAGGAAAACGCGTTAGCCTGAGAGTTTGCTGTAGTTATATTTACCACAAAACATTTTGTGGATATAAACAATCAGAAAAAGCCTCAGCAGATATGTAAAGATTAGGAACCTACTGAAATAAAAGAGGCAAAGTATTTCTCTGAAACAGAAAAGCCTAAGCTTGCACTCTGTGGGTCAGAGAGGAGAAACATCGCTGATATCCACACATCCAGGTAAGGTGAATTTACCAAAAGAGTGACCCGGTACACCAGATACTAGTGTACATACACCGTACATGCTAGAGAAGTATAAACACTTGGGGAGAATTAAAATTCACGTCTCAAGCTGTGACTCTATGAGCACAGATGGTGGACTGCTGAGCATCCTCCGAGCCCAGCAACAGAGTCCTATGCAATCCTGTTACAGCAAACAAAGCCAATAACATTTAATCCTATGAAGGAATGCCACTTCATTCACTCCAAAGGTCAAACAAGAACCAGAAAACAAAACAGTAGAG